GAAGCTAACTAATAGCACAAATTATTTTGCCAATACAATTTGAAACAGACAAGATATAGCTAATAAATATGATGGACAGAGGCCATGTTCATTCACTCAAGAGTTATAATTTACTTCAAAATAAAACATTGAGTTTTAAATATAAACCGTCCGATTTTCATCCAACGACAGTGAATGGACCGAATGCGTGAATGAGATAACTAACGAATATAGCTAAAGTATGATAAATTATGCTACTAAACTATGCTAAACTATGCTGCAATAATGTGATACAAAAAAAAAGTACCAATGGTAAGTCAATCACATGATTTCAATCAGTAGGCATTGTCTGATTTTACAAATCATAACATATGGCAGCAACATATGACATATTATTATAGCTCACATTAGTTACAAAAACATGTAGATGACAATGACATATAACATATATCAGAGCTTATATTAGAGCAACATACATCATATAACATATATATGACAATGACGTCCTAAAAAATCAAAAACATTAAATAATTGTATACATTTGAAGTATTAAGCCATCTCCATTGAAAAAAATCCATAACACAAGAGTAGAACCTAACTAATATGACACATCAGTTCTGATATAGTTGGAAACCAAACTTTATATTGTCTATCCAATTCAAACATACATGATCTAGCTAATTAATATTTCGTACAGTGGTTATGTGAATACGTTCAATGTATCAAGCAGACGTTAAAGTACATAATATTTACGCACCTTTTTGATGATTTCTCTTAAATCATGTGCTGGCATTCCAACATATTGAATACACTCCTTGTCCCAAAACACAAAACAACCAGTCGTGCAATCATTTTCGACCTCGATTTTGATTTTATACCTAAGGAAACATTTGGAATATAATTAAATTAACCAACATGTTTAAATAAGGTTCTTAGATAATTTATATAGTAACTAAAGAAAGATGAGCTTACTTGGTGAGTGGTGGAGGTGTATTTTCACAACATGTGCATATGAATGGCTGCCCAGGAAATTTATCAGTTCTGTTACATGCTGGACACTGCTCATAATACCAACCAAACCTACTTGACTTGAACCTCTTAGTGGTTCCAAAAGTGTTGCAAAAAGTTTGATGTAAATAAACATGGCATGTTATTATTGGAAACTTGCAATTGAGTAAAAATGAAGGAAACATCATTAAAATGGATATGTTGGGTCGTGATAAAAACTGGAGCATAGGAACTAATAAGCTTACATCTTGAAAAATAATGATGTCAATAATGGTTTTGACATCATTGGTGTAGGAGAAAGATCGGTCCACAAATGACCCTTGTGATGCAGAAGGTTAGGAGAGTGGTTGTGAAAGAAATTGTGAACTCGCATTGTCTCCCAACCTAAACAAAATTGAAACATTATATATAGTGGAGTACATAAAAGGGATTTGACTAAAAGGCATTGAATGATATTTCCTTACTTGGATTTGAATGCTGTGGTCTGTGGATGAACAAAATCAAGAAGCAATTTGGATCCGTTCCAAGCATTTGAGATGTATAATTTTCCGATGGCCGCAAAAAAATAACAGTGTCATAACAGTAAGAGTAATATAAGAAGCCAATCACAAATGAAAGGAATAAGAGTGAAATAACATTTTCAAGCATTACTTGAACTTTTCTGGCACATAGCATGAGTGATTATTATTATAGTCTGGCCATGTGCGGTATGCTCAGTCGAGTATGTCATGAATTGGTTGGCATATGCTTCCCAAAGTGTAATATCTATTTCAGAACCACTAATAATAAAGAGAGATAAGTAGTTAATATAGATTAAAAAATGTAGTACCAAAAGAGATAAATAAGTTATAATGTGATATATATATATATATATATATATATATATATATATATATATATATATATATATATATATATATATATATATATATATATATATATATATATATATATATATATATATATATATATATATATATATATATATATATATATATATATATATATATATATATATATATATATATATATATATATATATATATTTCATCAGATAAGATAATGTTGACACAAGCCTTCTTTCCGCCTCCTGCAACTTGAGACTTGACTACTTGGTGAAGTACACCAATGATATCTGTTTGATAGTAAGGCCAAATGTTTAGTCCATTAACTTTCACAAACATGTAATAATGCAGATCATGTTTAAGCAAATTTCAAATACCATATAAGCGGTTGACTTGGAAATCTCTGTGTAAAAAATTGACGATGAGTTTGAAATGAAATTGATGCGGTGGTATTTCTGGTATGTCTACCATGGTTACAGTGGTCCCACTATTGAAAAAAAGCTTCAAGGGATATTCACAGATTTTCAAAGGAAGATCATTGTTTAACGGATCACCATTATAAACCATATAAGTCTTATGTTCTTGTAACCTCTGTTTCCACAAATCGAAATCTCTGTTGCGGGTAACGACGTGTATTTTATCACACTATGAATCAAATGAATAGTTAGTACATATTTTAAGTTTTATAAAAGTTAGATAACATATTTATAACAATAATGCATACCTTGCTATCTTGGATAACACATTCAAAATGTTGTTGTCCATTACGCTCGGTTACAGTCCATAGATCAATAACACAGATGATGAGCTTCCATACATTGTTTCCTAGCTTCAAATCAACAATTATAATAGGTGCTCTAGACATGGTGATCTGAAAAGTAACAACAACTATTTCTGAAGTTAATTATCAGAATAATGATTTTAAATAATTGCTTCATGAATCAAATGAACATGTCATATCTTAACCAATAACCAATTTAGAAAAAAAAAAAGGATTTTGCGGAAGTGCTTGTTCTGCTTTTCTATATTAGTAGTTTGGTGTTCATAACAGACTTAGTAATACAGTCAATGTATTTACAAATAATCCAAGATGAATACAAAAAATTTCAGAGATGAATAACAATAACCAAATGTACAGAAATTGTTAGCAAAGCTTGTAGCTTTCTTATCGGGAAAAAAGATGAACACGAACCAAACATTCATCTCAAACTTCCTCATAACACATATACTTTACACGCGATAAAACCGATTCAAAACAACATCATGATAATCGAACCCACAATCACAAACATTAAAGAAATCAGGTTGAAAAGAATGAAGAAAGAATAAAAACCTCGACTCTTGGTTTGTGAAACAAAAAATCAGGAAAACGAAAAATAAAACAATGTGCAAACTATGATGTGCAGAGAGAGAGGCGATGAAGGTAGAAGCATGTACCTTTTTTTTTCCGCTCGCAAGTAATAAAGACGAGGACGGGAGATGATGATGTTCTGCTCTGAAGTATGATGTGTGCAGAGAAAATAGTCTGAAGAAGAAAGAGATATAGACGAGGCTGAAAATTGTGAAAAAAGAGGGGAAAATGATATAACTATTGAGACTAATTGTTAAGTGACACGTGCATGGGCGGTTTTAAGGCCCGGCCAGACTGGGCATGTGCCCGGGCTCGGCCCCAAAATTTTGCCTTCTTTTATAAAAGAATATGAAAATTGTGGCGGTTAATAAGTGTTTTTATGGCGGTTAAAACCGCCACAATTAACGAAATGCAGAATAATAGTACTTTTGAATAAACTTTCTCATGTCATAATATATATTAAATAATGGCAGTTTTAACCGCCGTAATTTAAATATTTTTCACAAATAAAACATAATTTTTTTCCTTTTTTATGCAATTAAGCATACATTATATTAATTTTTTTATATGATAATATTTAGATTCAACTACATTACAAAAAGTGCAAAATTAAAATAAAGTTGCTATTTATGACCAAATTAACCAAAAATAAAAAATGAATACTTGAAAAAATAAAATTTAACATAAAAGTAGCAACTAATAAAATTAAAAAAAAAACATGTATAGTGTTGTAAAAAAGAAGAAGAAAAGAATAAATTTTATCCTCAAATAATATAAAAAATATATTAGGTCCAATTCTTCAATTTATATTCACTCTAAATTATATGGTTCAATTGATATTAACTAGGAATTTGTATTTTAAATTTAGTTTGTAGTTACAGTAGTTAGTAAATAAAATTATGTTGTTAACTTGTTGCTAATTTTAAGAATTATTATGAATCACATGAAATGATATTCCATGTTAGTATCAACCTCAAATTGGATATGACTATGTTAGTTTTAAAATTCTGCCGAAATCAATTAAATTAAAAATCTTTATTTTGATTAATAACTATTTATATATATAATATGAATTTATTGTTTTTAAATTTTTGCCCAGGTTTCAAAAATTTTCTGACTCCGCCACTAGACACGTGGATAAAAACAATGTTCTTAGCAAGTCTAAGATATATGAATATGTTGATTACAAAATTGTCCCTGTTGAATGGAAAATGTAATATTGATTAAAGGATATATTAGTAAGAATGGTGACATTGAATAGTAATGGATAGGTAGTTGATTATCGATATTGTTGTATTAAATTTGTAATGAATTTTTGAAATATTTATTTTATTAAGTTGTGAACATAGAATAATGTATCACATATCTATGAAATTTAGTTTAATATTATTAGTTTATTTAATAAACGGTTTGATCATAAATTTAACTAGTTGAACTAATTAAATCTTAAACTAAAAATTTCACCGATTTCATCTCCAATCTATTTTTAAAATATTGATTAAAACCTTTAAAAAATGTGGAAGCTGTCTGATAATCAATTTATTTAGTAAACATGTTTTAATTGAACATGTTCTAAACAACTTATGAACAGAATATGTCTAACAAAATTCAATAGAAATACAAAATCAATTTAACCCAGTTCAATTAGATAGACAAAATTAATTAATTATCAAACTTAAATTTATGTTTATGGGTACCAAATAATTTGAAAAAGAAAAATTCTAAATAATCAAAAGAAATGGTTCAGGAGAGGCACATAACATAACCCTTTCTTCTTAACTCTTCTCTACCAAAACCCAAAACCCTTCTTCTCAACAATGTATCTCCCCCGCCACATACTCATCAGAACCTTCCTCCACCGCCGTCCCTTCTCCCATTCCGCCGCCGCCATCCTCCACCCTCCAGAGCCAGACCTAGAGCCGCTCACCTACCTCGAAGGCTTTCCAAAACCCGACCCTAAGTACGACGAGACCATCCTCGCGATTCCCCGCAGAGATTCCGGGAAGAACATTTCGGCTAAGGAGCGTAAAGTAGGTCGCGTTCCGAGCATAGTGTTCGAGCAGGAAGATGGCGAGCACGGTGGTAACAAACGCCTCATTTCCGTTCGCTCCAATCAGATCAGGAAGCTCATTAACCACCTTGGACGCTCGTTTTTCCTCTCACGCCTATTCAATCTCCAAGTTCTTCATCAATTCGACTCCGATTCAAACACTAACGACAACGATGTCATTGAAAACGTCCGCGTTTTGCCCCGCAGTGTATGCATTGTTGATTTCATGATTATTTACGTTTTGATTTCGGCTAGGTTACTCAATTAGAAGTTCTACTAGTTTTTTGTTGAATTGTTTTGATTTGTGAGTTCAATCTTTGGATACAATTATGCAAGCAATGAAATTGATGGAGTTTATTTGAAATTTGACAGATTCATTTGAAAGCTGGAACAGACGCACCTTTGAATGTTACATTTATAAGGGCTCCTTCAGATGCTTGGTTGAAAGTTGATATTCCTATTGTATTCATAGGAGATGATATATCCCCTGGACTCAAGAAAGGTTAGATCAACACATGTAGAAAAATTACTATTGTTCTCGTCCGTTTATTTTTCATAAGTAAATTAAATTTGATGTATTTACTCACTGCACCATACCACCTTTACTTAATTTTTGGTTTATCATTGCTCTGGACTTCTGGTTAATATTCTGCTTCACATGAATAGGAGATTAGTTTTTTCTTTGTTAATTCTGTTTGTTGTTAGTTGTTGATACAATTCTTAAGTTACTTGCTGTTAGTTAGTTGCTACCTACCAACAATTTGGATTTGTATCTTCTCAATCAGTGTCAATTGAATATCAAATCTCTTCTAGAGTTCAATACTCCAGCTTTTGCTCTTTGACTATTGCACTTAACACACATCTCATCTGTCTAAATTTTGGAGGCAATAGAGAAAGAAGTTTGTGCTTAGAGTAGGTAAAATTACCTATAGCTCAATGATCATTATCAAATTCTATCAGCATCGCCTCAAAACTGAATAGACCCAGACTATGCTTTCCGCGTAGGTTCAATATTATGCTAGATGGTATGTGCAATTGGTTATACGTTTTATGAGAATTTTTAAATTCTCTGTTCCATATGGCACAGTGCTATGCCCAATTGTTTTATCCTGATGGTAGATAAATATGTCTAAGGCTTTTGAGATTGTTTGGGTAAACAACTTAATTAACCTCTTATTCAATAACCATTTAATATATGAGTGGTTATAGATAAGACGTTTAATGCTTACTGGGTTTTAGCTAAAGGTGGTTTCTGCAATGAGTTTTAATTTTTATGAGAAAGGTTCAAGTTCTCTCTTCCACGTGGCTATGCATAGCAAAGTGTGGTACAGTGCCGCGTCCAATATTTTTTTTATAACGGTAGTTAGTATTTGGTAGATAAATAGATCTAAGACTTGGGAGGTGTTTAGATAAACAACTTAATTAAGCTCTTGTTTGAGTGGTTACAGATTTGGATAGAAGCATAGTCCTAGATAGAGCATTATGACAAAAGTTGATCCATGTAGCCGATCCCACTTAGTAGGATAAGGCTTGGTTGTTGTTGTTGTTGAGTGGTTACAGATAAGCCGTTTCTACTTTCTACCAAAGAAAATGAAAGTGAGGAAGATCTCTGCAAGATCTTTGTATAAACTATTATATAGTGTTTATCAAACTAAGGTGTAAACGGTGGATATTATGAACTATTTTCATAAGCTCTTCCAAACATTCAAACAAGGACTTTTGTTATATAAGATGAACCACAAAAAGCTTATTGACTAGATATTAAAGCTCAACTACTCTAACTAGGAATGCTCTAGTGCGTGTTCCACCAGTGTGGGGCTTAGTGAGAGATGTACACATTACTATGAGCAGAGAGGCAGTTTCTATGGCTGAAAAGTCATGACCGCCAAGGGATCAAGTAACCTTACTTTTATTCCAATTGATATTGTTTTAGAAGAAAGCTATCCACTCACCACTATTAATGATTTTGTTATCAAAACTTTATCCTGTCAATTGGCTATATGCCCTCTGTGTCATTAGTTCTTTAGAATATGTGCTATAGTGATCTATCTCCATGTTTCTTACATAAGATAAAATGTCTGTTTGTATTTATAATGTATAAATTTGTATAATAATACAGATGACTCTGAGTTCTGCTACACACGTCTTTCTATTCCAATTTCAACTATGACTGTTGATCAAATTTTGTTGAACTACCCTACATGATATAACATTGGGCATAGCACTGTGCCATATAGAACAGAGATAAAACAATTGGGCATAGCACTGTTCCATATGGAACAGAGAATTTAATTTATTAATTTTTGTACCATAGAGCTATTAGTTTTATATATTTTCTTGTTCCATCTATTAGTTTTATATATGACTAGTCAGTTTTTTATTTGTGTTCCCATCTACCTTATGTGATAATTTAATTAATTAATTTTCGTACCATGGAGCTATTAGTTTTTATAGAAATATGCTTTTTCTATTATTTATTCTGTAACATATTTCCCCAAGCTGGCATGAATATATCGTTCATAGCAAGCTTGCACACCATGTTATCAAACAGTCTCTTTGGAAGACTCTTTGTGAGAACATCTGCTACTTGACTTTTGGTAGGTATGTAGGACATACAAATCTCACCGCTGTCAATTTTTTCTTTGATGAAATGCTTGTCCACTTCAACATGCTTCGTCCTGTCATGTAGGACAGGATTATGGGCAATAGAAATAGCAGCCTTATTGTCGCAGTAAACTTTAATTGGAGTTGGGCCAAAGAACTTCAATTCTTCCATGAACTTTTTGATCCATAATACTTCACAAAAACCATGGGCCACAGATCGGAATTCAGCTTCTGCACTGCTCCTGGCTACAACATTTTGTTTTTTGCTCCTCCATGTAACTAGATTTCCACCTACAAAAGTACAATATCCTGAGGTAGACCTTCTATCATTTATATTACCTGCCCAATCAGCATCTGTATAGGCTTCAACCTGTATATGTCCTCTATTTCTGAATATCAGCCCCTTTCCCGGAGTACCTTTCAAATATCTTAATATTCTGAAAATAGCTTCAAAGTGGGCTGCACCTGGTGCATGCATAAATTGGCTTATTACACTCACTGCAAAGGCTATATCTGGCCTTGTATGTGACAAATAAATTAGTCTTCCAGCCAATCGTTGATAACGTTCTTTATCTACTATTTCATCTTCAGCAACTGACTTTAGTTTCACATTGGGATCCATTGGTGTTTCTACTGCTTTAGACCCTGTCATCCCTGTTTCTGCAAGTAAATCGAGTATGTACTTGCGCTGGTTGAGAAAAATACCTTCTTTAGATCTTGCGAACTCCATCCCAAGAAAGTATTTTAACTTTCCAAGATCCTTGATATCGAACTCAGCCTCAAGTCTTCTCTTCAGATCACTAATTGCTTTGACGTCATCTCCTGTAATAATAATGTCATCAACATACACTATTAAGATAGCAATCTTACCTTCAGATGAGTGTTTAAAGAACATAGTGTGATCTGCTTGACTTTGGGTGAAACCGTGTCTCTTAACAACACTTCCAAATCTCTCAAACCAGGCCCTTGGCGATTGTTTCAATCCATATAGGGATTTTCTCAATCTGCATACTTTGTTTCTTCCAAGATTTTTTTCAAATCCAGGAGGTAAACTCATATATACTTCTTCATGTAATTCACCATTCAAGAAGGCATTTTTAACATCATATTGATATAGTGTCCAGTTGAAATTTACTGCAAGAGAAAGAAGAATTCTGATAGAATTGATCTTAGCAACTGGGGCAAAAGTCTCTTGGTAATCAATACCATGAGTTTGAGTAAATCCTTTTGCTACTAATCTCGCTTTGTATCTTTCCACACTTCCATCAGCCTTGCATTTCACTGTAAAGACCCACTTACACCCTACTGCCTTTTTATCTTGTGGTAGATCAGTGATACTCCAAGTGTTATTTTTGTTTAGAGCATCCATCTCTTCTTTCACTGCTAATTTCCAATTCGGATCACTTAATGCTTCCTGAATAGTTCTGGGCACAAACAAATTAGAAATCCTAGACACATATGCCTTATGGGTGTGTGATAGTTTGTCATATGACAAGTAATTAGACATAGGATGTTTAGTGCACATACGAGAACCTTTCCTCTCAGCAATTGGGACATCGAGGTCAGGAATATTTTTTCTCACAGAAATTGGAAGATTAATATCAGGAAAAGACAAATCAGATAAATCATTGGATGAGTAAGAAGGATTACCAGATGAAGAACTAGAAGACAGATTATCTGTAGGACCTTCACTTGGTAAATCAGATTGGATTTCTACTGGAGAGACAATAGGGTTTGCACCACCTTTATGGAATTTTTTTTCGAACATACACTTTAAGTTCAGGATTATCATCCTTAATCAGTGTTTCTCCCCCTGTTTCAGATTCTATTATCTTAGCATTTGGGTGATTTGTAGTCACAATATCATCTAGAGCAGGCAAAGTTTCCCAAAAATTATCTTCTTTATTATTACATTGACTCTCCCCCTGAAGAGAATTTTTAAAAAAAGGTTGATTTTCAACAAAGTGAACATCCATGCTTTCAAAAAATTTCTTTGTAACTGGGTTAAAACATTTGTATCCCTTTTTATTGGAAGCATAGCCAAGAAAAACACATTTTTCGGCTTTAGGATCCAACTTAGAACGAAAAACATTGGGGATGTAAACATAACAAAGACAACCAAAAATTTTAAGGGGAAGATCCGTAATAATACGAGATGTAGGAAAATTGTTTTGTAACACTTGTACAGGACTTTCATATTGTAACACCCGAGATGGCATTCGATTGATGAGGTGACAGGCAGTTAATAAAGCATTTCCCCAAAGATACTTAGGTACATTCATAGAAAACATAATAGCTCTAGTGACTTCGAGGAGATGTCTATTTTTTCTTTCAGCAATACCATTTTGCTGCGGAGTATCGCGACAAGTGGATTGATGAATTATCCCCTTAGTTACAAGGAATGTACTTAAATATTTGTTGAAATATTCAGTGCCATTGTCAGACCTTAGAATGCCAATCTTAGTTTGAAATTGATTGTTAATCATGTTAAAAAAATCTTGAAATCTTTGTTCAACTTCTGATTTTTTCTCCATGAGATAAACCCAACACAGCCGTGTATGATCATCAATAAATGTTACAAACCATTTTTTTCCAGACATAGTTTTAATTTTTGAAGGACCCCAAACATCACTGTGAATTAAATAAAAAGGTTTAGAAGCAGAATAGGCTTTTGATTTAAAAGACACACGATGATCTTTAGCTAAGTGACAAGCTTCACAATGAAATTGTGAGGAATTTATTTCTTTGGAAAAAATAGGAAACAAATGCTTAAGATATGAAAAACTAGGGTGACCTAATCTTTTATGCCATAACATAATTTGATCTGAAACAGGAGATGCGTTTGTACTGTTTGAACCGAAAAACGCTTTATTGCCAAACTGAATTCCATCAAGGTAGTACAATCCATTCATCTCTCTAGCAGTTCCAATCGTCTTCCCCGAGTTCTGGTCCTGAAAAACACAAGTAGAGGGACGAAAAAGAACGGAACAATTAGTGTCCTTAGACAATTTATGAACAGATAGAAGATTACAAGCGAATTTAGGAACATGTAAAACAGATTGCAAAGTGATTTGCTCTGAAATTTTTATGCTGCCTTTGCCTGCAATACTTGAATAACTACCATCAGCTATCCTAACTTTTTCAAAACCTGAACTAGGAAAATAGGTACTGAATAGATGAGAGCAATTAGTCATGTGTTCAGATGCCCCTGAATCTATTATCCAAGGGTTAGAGTGGTTGTGAGCAGATAGTGCCCAAGAATTCTTACCTGTTTGTGCCACAGTTCCAGTAGGGATATTAAGAGATGAATTGGACTTTAGAAACTTAAGAAGGTTATCCATTTGCTCCTTCGTACATGGAGACGAATCAGCCTCATTGGCCATAGGCATAGGACGATCACCAAACTTACCAGCCTTGCCATGATTTGGTCGCCCATGTAGTTTGTAGCAAGTTTCCCGAGTGTGGCGATTGCGCCCACAGTAATCGCAAAATAAATGAGTCTTGTCTCCACCTCGTTGATTATGAAGTGGTTTACGATTGACATGGGGAATTGCCAAGGCAGATCCTTCAACTGGTGGAGGGACAGCTGCTGTATTTTTGCCAAGCATCACTTGCCGACGACTCTCTTCGCGACGTACTTCTGAAAAGACTTCACCAATTGGAGGGATAGGATTTCTGCCTAGAATTCGGCCACGAACCTCATCAAAATCAACATTTAGACCCGCAAGGAACTTGAAAACACGACTAACATCCACCATCTTCTTGTAATGTTTGCTATCGGCAGGTGATTTCCACTCATACTCATTGAAAAGGTCCAAATCTTGCCAAATACGTTTGAGACAATTGAAGTATTTGGTGACTGAATCTTCACCTTGCCGAATTTCTCCCAATTTGAGAGTTAATTCGTAGATTTGGGATTGATTTTCCAAATCAGAGTACATTTGGGAGACACCTTCCCAAAGTTCTTTTGCAGTATCATAACAGAGATAATTTGCACCTATCTCTTCATCCATGGAGTTGACTAACCATGTCATGACCATGGAGTTTTCAGCATCCCATGTATCATAATCTGCACCTGCCTTGTCTGGTTGTTTTTTGTCGCCAGTAATGTAGCCAATCTTTCCTCTCCCCCTGAGATACATACGAACGGATTGCGACCATCGAAGATAATTAGCACCGTTCAGCCGAATTGTTGTGATCTGAACAGGGTGGTTTTCATGGTACGTTCGGACTAATTTAGGTTCGGGTGAGGAATGTTTGGGTGAAAGTGAGGACTCGGTATCAGACATTGTGGGATGTAAAAAAGATAAACAGAGCGGAAGCAAAAACAAAAAAAACCCTAAAGGATTCTTGTTGCTACTGATACCATATAGAAATATGCTTTTTCTATTATTTATTCTGTAACATAGTACATGAGTATTTATAGAATATAAATTACACTAAGAAATAGGGGTAATTATTCTCCCTATAAATGCTAATCCTAAATAAGGTAAGAATATAATAATACAATTAATTTCTATTTAATCACAATTTGAATCCAGCCATAATGAGCTGTATGACAGAATCTGTTTTGATTTTGTGCTAATATTCAACAGTTTTATATATTTTCTAAATTCCAATAAAAGTTAATCTTTTGTTATTTCCAGAGGTCCAACTGATAAATAATTGTATAAAGGTTTACTCAAGTTAAGAACAATATCAAGCATCTTAGTAACTGTACCCATTTGATTCAGGAATATTTTTTATTGTGAATTTTAGAATGCTACTCTGTATTGCAATGACAAGGTTGAGAAGATGTTCCGATTCATGCAATTTTTGTCTGTTGTCTTATTAAGTGTCTGCTGGGCTAGCAATTATTACAAGGATAGAAGATAAGTTCTGTTAAAAATTGGAGTTTTTGTATTGAACATTTCTGTATGATCCCTCTACTCTAACTGATATGGACGGACACTTTGGTATTGGTATTGATATCTTTACGTTAATAACAATAACAAAGCATTTTAGTTTATTCTTACAATTGTCGTTACTTGGCTGAGTAGTATTCATCACTTTACAATTTTGGCAGGTGCTTCTTTGAATACCATCAAAAGGACTGTTAAGTACCTATGCCCTGCGGACATTATTCCCCCATATATTGAAGTGGATTTAAGTGAGTTAGATGTAGGCCAGAAGGTGCTCATGGGTGATCTCAATATTCATCCTGCATTAAAACTTCTTCACTCAAAAGATGAAGCTGTTTGTAAAATTATGGGCCAAAGGGTTTCTGAACAACAACCAAAGAAATCCAAGTAACTACTTATTGCATCTTTGGTGGTTGCCATTGCTGCACCGAAGCATTTTTTAGCTCACATGTAACATTTTGTAGTCATCTTATTAGTTGATTCCTGGCTGCAGTGAAGGACACGGCTATAGAATTCCAATGTTAGGCTTTTGCAAGCTTCCTTTTCATTGCCTATTCAGTTCCTTCCCATCTTTCAGTTCACTCTTTCTGCTGTTTCTTTTGGCTTATAAAAGAATATATTGCGAACAAGAATAGGAAGTTGATATGGCGAGATCATGAATGCAATAGAAATGTTTATGTTTTGTTTTGGGTTGTTACAAGTAGAGGGTCACCACTGAGTCCCCTCTCATCCTTAATAAATTGTAGTTTAGGCCTCTTCTCCATAACTCCAGTTTGAATTTTAGATATGTGACAGATAATTTTTAATTTTTTTCTACATTGTGTCAGTTTTTGAATTTAACCATGATATCACTATTATTTTTTATTCATGTTTCACGACTGTGTTTGCAAATAAATATTTCATAATTCTGTGAATTTCAGCCTGCAATGTCTAGTTTTGTTCTCAATATCTCAGTTTTGCATTTTACATTCCTACACAATGCTCTATCTAAGTCATGTTAAGAATACCAACCTTGTATGATCATCGAATATTGTTCTTTTTACAGTATAGCAGCTTAGAAACTTAGCAGAAGCAAATCTATCCGAAGAGATAGCCAAATATTTATATTGATCATGATATATGTATTTTGGTGTGTTCATCAGTTCAGTCTCTTATTAATTAGGCATATCAAACATTATCACAAAATCGACTAAAGTTGTGCGATACCAATTATCTCTGTTGATCAAGGTAAGAATACAAAAATCTCAAGCTTTATTGATGTTGCAAACTTTACTCGATGATGAAAACAGAAAGTTGAGGCTATATAAGTAGCCTTACAAAAAAACTGCTTAAAACTAAAACTCCTAATTTTCAGCCCTCTATGCTAAATAATAGGACTTACTAGAACTGCTCCTTTTGACTAGGAATTTATTAACCGACTAAAATTCAAATACTAATTAAAACAAATATTAATATTTCAACAATTCCTCCCCTAAACTAAGTATGCATACTGCATTTTAGTTTAATCTTCTGCTGCTTGTACTCCCAGCTGCTTCCGAATTTTCTCAAATTGGTCCAACTTCAATGGCTTGGTCATGATATCTGCAAGCTGATCATTTGTTCTACAGAACTCCATAATAACAGCTCCGTCCTTAGTTAGATTTCTCAGAAAATGAAATCTCACGTCTATGTGTTTGCTTTTCCCATGAAAAACTGGATTTTTGGCAAGCTTAATGGTAGAAGAATTGTCGCAAAACATTGTAACACAATCAGATTGAGAACCTTTAATTTGTTTTAGAATGTGTTGCATCCAAATACACTGGCAAACACAAGATGCCGCTGCTACGTATTCGGCCTCAGTTGTAGAAAGAGTAACTACTGGCTGCTTCTTGGAGGCCCATGCAACAACTCCACCACTTAACATAAATACATAGCCTGAGGTGCTTTTCCGGTCATCTATATCACCGGCATAATCGTTGTCCGTGTAAGCTACTAACTCATCCTTGCACCCCTTCCAGTAGAAGATGCCTAGATCAATTGTTGACTTAATATACCTTAAAATTCTTTTGGCTGCAAGCATGTGTGCTTCCTTTGGATTTGACATGAACCTACTAATAAGACACACACAGTACATTAAGTCAGGCCTGGTTGCTGTCATATACATCAAACTCCCCACCATCTGCTTGAAAAGAGTTCCATCAACTTGTTTTCCTTCCTCTTCTCTTGACAGCTTAATACTCCCAGGGACTATGGGATTTTTTACTCCATTACAATTTCCCATGCCAAATCTCTCGAGAACTTCTCCTGCATACTTCTTCTGGCTTATGTGTATTTCTCTCGCATTTTGACGCACTTCAACTCCTAGGAAGTACTTCATTTCGCCTAGATCAGTCATCTCGAATTCTCGTTTCATAGAATTTTTGAATCCTTGCATCATGACCAGATTATTACCGGTAAAAATAAGATCATCAACATAAAGACTTACAATCAATATTTTCTCTTTTTCTTCTTTGATGAACAAAGTGTATTCATAGCAGCTCCTTTTGAAACCTTCATTGAGGAAGTAGCTTTCGATCCTGCTGAACCATGCTCTTGGAGCCTGCTTCAACCATAAAGTGCCCTTTTTAGTTTGTAAACTTTGCTTTCCTCCCCTTTTACTTCATATCCTTGCGGTTGTGATACATATACATTCTCATGCAACTCTCCGTGCAAAAATGCACTATTGACATCCAATTGATAGAGTTTCCAGCCATTTCTTGCTGCTAGTGCTATCACCATTCGGATAGTATCCCATCTTGCAACCGGGGCAAAAACTTCATCGTAGTCTACACCTTTCTCCTGTGCATAACCCTTGGCCACCAAGCGAGCTTTGCACTTGCTAACTTCACCGTTTTCATCACACTTTGTTCTGTAGATCCACTTTACACCTATTATTTTTGCTTCTGAGGGAGGTTGAACTAGCTCCCAGGTTTGGTTCTTTTTTATTGCTGCTATTTCCATGTCCATGGCATCTCTCCAATTTTTCTCTTTTACTGCTTCTTCATAATAAATTGGATCAGTAGGCATAAACAGAAGAAAATTTGGTGCCTCATCTTCTGATAATTCACCTCCACTTGTATAGTCTTGAAGGTAGATTGGAGCCTTTCTTGTTCTCTTTGTTGTGGTTGGTGGAGTTGTCGCTTCATTTGACGAGGAATCCTCAATTTCTAAGTGTTCTTCTTCTGATTCACTCGTGGTATTTTCATCTTCATGTTCATCTAATTCCTCAATTTCTTCCTCATAGTCTTCACCCCAATCAAGTGCATCACTTTTTGATTTTGCATCTGTCCTCCCCCAATTCCAGCAGCCATCTTCCTCAAATATTACATCTCGACTGATTGTTACCTTCATAGTTGAAGGATTTATCATTTTGTATCCTTTTGATTTCTCACTGTATCCAATGAATACTTGCTTTTGGCTTCTAGCATCAAGTTTGAGTCTTCTAGCTTCTGGTACATGAACATTTCCTACACATCCGAATACTTTAAAATGCTCGACGCTGGGCTTGAGACCACTCCAACACTCTTCTGGTGTCTTGTCTTTTACAGCAGATGTGGGGCTTCTGTTGAGCACATGGCAGGCCCATTTTGCGGCTTCTGGCCAAAACATTTTTGGCAGTCTCTTCTCTTCAAATATGGAGCGTACCATATTCATAATTGTGCGATTCTTGCGCTCAGCGACTCCGTTTGGTTGAGGTGTATAAGCTGTGGTCAATTGTCGCTTGATTCCTTGAGCTTTACAGAAGTTTGAAAATTCATTTGAATTGAATTCTCCTCCTCTGTCTGTTCTTAAACAACACAGTGACAGACTAGTTTCCTTCTCTGCCATGGTTTTAAATTCTTTGAAAATAGTGAAGGCTTCACTTTTCTCATTTAGAAAGTAAACCCAAAGTTTTCGACTGAAATCATCAATAAATATCAGTATGTACCTTTTGTTTCCATGTGATTCAGGAGAAATTGGACCGCATATATCCGAGTGAATAAGTTGCAGTTGCTGTTTGGCTCTCCAGATGCTTTTCTTAGGAATAGCTTCTCGATGTTGTTTTCCAACCATGCAACTTGTACAGATTTTTGATGAAGCATTCAATTTTGGAAGCCCTCGAACCAATTTCTTGTTATGCAACAACGCCAAATTCTTATAGCTCAAATGACCAAACCTTTTGTGCCATATTTCACCAAGGTTATCGACATTTGCTTTGAAGCATGTAGATGTTGATATAAGAATGTTTGTTGTCACAAGAAACATTCTGTTGGTGGTCATTATGCTTTCCATTATGCAGCCTCTGTTCGGATGATATAGCTTGCAAACTCCATGCTTAATCATAATTGTGATGTCTCTATCTTGGAGCTGCTCAATACTCAGTAAATTATTGCATAAATCAGGAATAAAAAATACGTCGCTTACGATATGAGTGCTTCCTCTAAACTCCAATTTGATGTTTCCCTTTCCCATTACTTCTAGCTTTGAGTTATTTCCAAGCTTGACCGAGTGCCTGAAGCTTTCATCCAGCTGTATGAACCATTCCTTGTTTCCAGACATGTGATTTGAACATTCGGAATCAAGAAACCATACTCCCTCTTTCTTGTTTGGATGAGAATCTGCTTGTGCCATCAGCAACATCTCTTCCTCTTCATTAAACTCAGCATAATTCGCTCTTTTCTCCCATGTTGGACACTCATACTGATAGTGCCCCAAATTATGACACTTATAGCATTCCACAGTAGCCCTACTTGTAAATGGTCTGCCTCTACCTCTTCCTCGGCCTCTCGTTATGCCTCTTCCTCGGCCTCTCGTTATGCCTCTGCCTCTGCCTCTTTCGTAACGCTCCTCGTGTGTCACTTTCAATGCCTCCTCCTCCTCATTTGAACCATTCATTCTTTGCTCATGGATAAGGAGACTGCTTTGGAGTTCATCAACTGTTAGAGTTTCCACATTGTTAGACTCCTCAATGGAGCACACAACGTAGTTGAATTTTGTCACAAGAGACCTCAAAATTTTTGACGTAATATCGTTTTCTTTCACAGTCTCTCCGCAAGCTTTCATCCGCTTTGCTATGGAAAGAGCTCGTCCAAAGTATGCATTGACGGATTCTCCTTCTTTCATCTTCAGTACCTCGAACTCAGTCTTCAAACTTTGAAGCTGAGCTCTCTTCACTCTAGTTGAACCTTTGAACTTTTGTTTCATCGAGTCCCATATCTGCTTTGAGGTGTCATCATTTAGTATTGTCTCCAAAATTTCTCTATCAATGGCTTGATAGAGATAATTCTTCACCTTTCGGTCTTTCAGCTTCTGTTCAGCAATTGTTTTTGTCTCCTCATCAGTGGGCTGTCGGTTTTGTGGACCAACATCCACCCCATCCTCGACCAAGTTCCACATCTCTTTAGATCTGAGGAAGTTCTCCATCAGCTTTGCCCAATGCTCATAGAAGCCATCAAATTTGGGAATAGCTGGTTGCACAAATTTGCTGCTACTGCTGCTGTCATTCATTCTCACGAATTTCTTTAAATTCTCTGTCTTTCTCTGATCAGGCCTCTTGACGAGGCTTTGGTACCAATTATTGATCAAGGTAAGAATACAAAAATCTCAAGCTTTATTGATGTTGCAAACTTTACTCGATGATGAAAACAGAAAGTTGAGGCTGTATAAGTAGCCTTACAAAAAAACTGCTTAAAACTAAAACTCCTAATTTTCAGCCCTCTATGCTAAATAATAGGACTTACTAGAACTGCTCCTTTTGACTAGGAATTTATTAACCGACTAAAATTCAAATACTAATTAAAACAAATATTAATATTTCAACAATCTCTAATGAATTTGCTTGTTTTAAATCTTTTTATTTATATTTTTAATTAAATAAAAATTACACTGGCTTTCTTTGTCAGCCACTATTCTAAACATTTGTGATTGCAACCACAAACCTTCTTCCTCATCTAGGGCCTTCTATCCCATGTCATCCTGTCACATTTTAGAGATTTTAACTTGTCATCTCCAAATTACTCTGCCATCCTCCATACTTGCATATTTCTAAAATGATCGAAAATTATGAAATTGTTGAAATTTTCAGTATATATTTAACTGTAAATATTATAAAATTTGAAATTTTGATATAACTTTTAGTGTAAACATCCGAAAATTTGAAAAGTTAAATGCTCCACATTTTGGCATTTCTATGAATAGTAACTCCTGCCAAAGCTTCATAAAATGCACCTTCTTACCTTTTTTCTTCCTTCTTTTCTTCTAATAAAATGTGCATTATTGTTTGATACGGCCATTGTTTCAAACTGTAATAAAAATAAAGGAAAGAAAATTTAAATTGTTTGATTAAAATAATTTTATATTCTAAATAAATAAATAAATCAGTATATATATATATATACACACACATATATTTACGTGTATATATATATATACTTACGTGTGTGTATATATATATATATATATATATATATATTTACACACGTAAGTGTATATATATATATACTTACGTGTATATATATATATATATATATATATATATATACACACGTAAATATATATATATATATATATATATATATATATATATATATATATATATATATATATATATATATATATATATATATATATATATATACATAAATATATATATATACATAAATATATATATATATATACATAAATATATATATATATATACATAAATATATATATATATACATAAATATATATATATATATATATATATATATATATATATATATATATATATATATATATATAATATATATATATATATATATATATATATATATATATATATATATATATATATATATATATGTATATAAAATATTTTAATCAATAATATATTTGTTTCTGTTTATAAAAATAATTTTGTATAAAAATATTTGATACATAATAAAAACATATTGAATGCAATTTTGATTTGATGGGTTTTAGGGATAGGAGTTCTGGCGCCATAATTCAATAATTAGTGGTGTTTTTTTGGACTTCATAGGCTCATCCTATAATCAAACCAAATCTTTTGGTAAGAACATACTAATTTTTCCAATATCAAAAACAAAACAAAAAAGATATCAACTATTTCTAATAGAACATGTTTCAACTTTCAACTTTAATAGACATTAGCTACACCCACAATGGTGAACAACACAATAAAATCACTAGAACTAAATTCACTTAAATAATATTATCAAACTGATCTTGTAAATATTTAAATTTGACACAATTTCACACGCTCTATCTTGATAACATATAAAACGTCATTTCTTAAGAGTTATTAAGTATACATGCTTTTCATCAAACATGTACAATACATACAAACTAATACCAAAATCAGAGTTATTAAGAGTTATTAAGTATACGTGCTTTTCATCAAACATGTACAATACATACAAACTAATACCAAAATCAATCATACCAAGAATTTTGAGAGAATGTTCAAAATCCAAATCACATGAAATAATCAAACTCATTAACTTATTAAGATGTGAAAAGTACAAATGAAGAAAATGGAAAAGAAGTGGAAAAGTGATAACACAAAAAAAATTAATTTAATGCGGGAAATCAAGCACAGTCGGTAATAATTTATTTGTTATCACACCACAATAAGCTTCTAGCATATAAGCAAGTGATTTTTGTGATTTTGATAGCACCTCGCATGGCTGCAAAACATCAACAAACAATTCTCTGCTGCTTTTGCTTCTTTTTCTTCTTCTTCTTCAATATATTGAATCCAATTTAGAAAGAGGAAACAAAAAAAAGAAAATAAAATCACAAACAAAACTAAGATTCGCATCTTAAAACTTTGGAGGTAGGTTAAGAATTAGATTTAGGATACTTTGAAGATGTGTTTAAAATTAGATTCTAGGAACTATATTGTACACGTCTCAATAGATCTCTTCCTTTCTGTTCATATTCATCATCAGTCTTAGTTTTGCAAGCTTTTGACAAACTAATTTGTCAATCTTCCTTCAAAATACAAAGAAAATTAAAATCAGTAACATCACACTCGCCGCCATAAAAATATATTTAAAAAAAAAATCTAAACTTAGAGTTTAAGGGAGAATAAGTTAATAACTAAACCTAAACTATAAAAGTCACACAAAAATCATTTTGAATTTGACTATCACCACACTCGCCACCATAAACTGCCGCCACATGTCAACCACTGACAAATCGCATGCCTCCGTAAAACCATCGATAATGTCATAGCTATCGTTGGAGTTTCATATATCTTATCCCACTCGAAGCTTCACATCACCATAAAATCACTAAGTCTATCGTAAAATCACACATCGCCGATGAGAGTAAGATTTGTGAAAAAAGAAAAAAAAATGTTTTAGACGTTTCTAAAATCAATGTTCTTATATGATAGATTAGTTTGAATTTTCTTAAGCATCAATAAATGATAAAGACAGAGAAATTCTATTAGCCACCACCTTTTTTTAGTTACATTGTCAATTTTATTTAATATATGCAATTAATGTCAATAACCAAAATTAAATTGTTAGTAAAGTTTGCAGCACATATTAAGATTCAAAACCTGTCGTATTTATCAATCCAAACCAACAATCCATTAATTTATTTAAAAAACTTTTTGAACATGTAAAAATGAATGATGAAATAATAAAAAAAATAAAATCTGAAGAAAATCTTATCATTAACAAATTAACAATTTAAACTAAAAAACATAAAGATCCAAACTCAAAAACCGAATTGGATTCGAAATTTTCAACGATCTACAGAGATTCATAATATAAATTTCCCTTCACTCAAAAATTCCAAAACCTAAAGAGCATGCCAAGAAACGATGCACACTAACAACCACAACAACTCAGAAGGTAGCAGAAACAACACCGCCACCACCACCATGAGCATTCTTTCTTCCAGAACAAGCTCTCGTTCTGTAACCGAAACCGTAAACGGTTCACACAAGTTCGTAATTAAGGGATACTCTCTTGCGAAAGGGATGGGAGTTGGAAAACACATAGCCAGCGAAACTTTCACCGTCGGTGGTTACCAGTGGGCAATTTACTTCTACCCCGACGGTAAAAACCCCGAGGATAATTCCGCTTATGTTTCCGTTTTCATTGCTCTTGCTTCTGAAGGAACCGATGTTCGTGCTCTTTTCGAACTCACTTTGCTTGATCAGAGTCCCAATGGAAAGCATAAGGTTCATAGTCACTTTGATCGATCTCTTGAGAGTGGTCCTTATACTCTCAAGTATAGAGGCAGCATGTGGTTCGTTTCTTTCTAATTTTTGCTAATTTCCGTTTCATGATTTGGTTATTGTAAATTTCTATTGTTTTTTTTTTAATTTTTATTTTAGGGTTTAGGGTTTATAACTGGTTTTTTCACATATGGAAAGAAGTTTCTGAATGAGTCTGTGAATGTTCATGGAGATGATAAAAGAGAGAGTTTTTAGCGAAATTGAGATGCAGAGGTTGATTTTAACTCAGTGTATGTTATTTCCTTAAAAGCCTATTTTTATTGATAGTTTCTCAATCCGCATCATGTATTCTTAGAGAGCCCCGAAATATATATCGGGGGCGGATTAAAAAATTATATTTATTATTCTATAATAAGTGATTACGAGAAAGTTTATCTAAACTATTTTTAAGTAGTTTTATTAAGATAAGATTTGGGTTGATTCTTTATGAACTTTAATATTTTGAAAATGTTATTCTAAAGTCAGTTTGTTGTTAAATTGTACCAATTAGGATTAGGATGTATCATGTCCTTGAAATTTAGTGTGTTAAGATTACAGTGTACTTTGAATTGGATCAAGGGTGTGTGCCTATATGATATATCTTTGCTTGTACATTTTTTGCAGAAGCTGAGCCATATTCTAATATTTTAACCTGATGTTGAGATTTAAACTGTACTAGTGTGCTATGTGAATTACTTTTTTTTCGATTTTCGTTTTTGATCTTATTTTCTTGATTTGTAATGTTACTCTGTCGGTTTAATTCCTTATGGACATGTTTTTATTCTTGATGGATTTTCCTTTAAAACACAAACAATGGATGACTTGAATCCTATTACTTGGATGTTTGCTTACTCTTGATGTTGTGATATACTTGTAAAATTAGGAGTTATTAGCCATTCATTTTGTTGTATACTTTATGAACTAACCAATGTTACTTTGCTTCTGTGTTAGGGGATATAAGCGGTTTTTCAAGCGTGCTCAACTCGAGGCATCATCCTTTCTTAAGGATGACTGCTTGAAGATAAATTGCACTGTTGGTGTTGTTGTGTCGTCCATAGATTGTTCTAAATTGACCACCATACATGTTCCTGAATCTGATATTGGATCGCATTTCGGCATGCTGTTAGAGAATGAGGAAGGATCTGATGTTACTTTCTCTGTTGGCGGTGAAAGGTTTCACGCACACAAACTTGTTATGGCAGCCCGGTCAACTGCATTTGAAACTGAGTTTTTCAATAGGATGGAGGTAGATGACTGTGATGTCGTTGTTACAGACATGGAACCTAAGGTTTTCAAGGTAGCTCTTTTCCTCTAAAGTGTCATTTTTCCTCCATCCTTTTGCAGCTATCTTTTATTCCATGCTATATGCAAACATGCATGTTCTAACTAATCAAGTGTTACATATTATTTGCTTGGTTATCTAATGTTTCTTGAATCCTATTGTTGAGCAGGCTTTGCTTCATTTTATTTACAGAGACGCTCTTATAGAAGATGAAGAGTTCTTCATGTCAGGTTCATCGTTTCTGCCTTCAATATCTGAAACATTTGCAGCAAAGTTATTAGCGGCTGCCGAAAAGTATGACTTGCCTAGACTTAAGCTGATGTGTGAGTCTGTACTTTGCAAAGACATATCTATAGATTCTGTTGCCTATATTCTGGCTCTTGCCGATCGCCATCATGCTACGGAGTTAAAGTCCATCTGTCTACAATTTTCGGCTGAAAACCTTATTGGTGAGTTTGTTTATTTATCATTGAAGTATAGTCAGCTACAGTTAAGCTTATTATATATTGGCATCACTTTGGTTCTGCAACTGAGTATTCTTCAGCGACATTTTATCTGTTATTTGACGAACAACTAGATTATTGGTACATGCATAATCTTCTCAGTTTGCTTTATGGCATTGACTTAGTTTGCAATCATAAACGGGTTAGGAGGACTTCACTTATAACTGTTAAGCTGTTGGGATGCATTAACAGTTTAACCCCCTTACGTCCTCCCTTTTGCATTGCATGTGGAAATTAATATGTCAAACCGGAACAATGTAAAAACTCAGAAAATTCACTACAGATCATACTTAACATACTATACTTTAGCAAACCAATTCACTACAGATCACTCTCAACATATTATACTTAAACAAACTCTATGTTATTTTTTTCATGCTCACACTGATGAAAATGCTCTGTAACTGTACTAGTATCATTTCTTTATGGCACTTGGTTATATGAAAATATACTTTTAACTCTCAATAATATGAACATGTGGAGAAACATTGTTCTTCTTAATTGAGTTTGAATCTATGTATCTTGAATAGCAGGCAGCCCCAACCCCCAAATTGCTACGGTGGTAGCCGCTATGTTAAAATCTAGGGAAACAACACAAAATCTATATACCATACACATAAAAGCTCAATAATAGAAGAATGCACAAAGTTAAAGACATCACTAATTACAACTTATTTTCATTGGTACCAATATTCAAACCAAACATAAAGCAAATAAGCTCCAGCCTTCAAAGTAAAATACCTTACCAAGATATTTAAAATACAAAGTACATTTAATTTGATTTGATTCCTTAAATGGAATCACTGTTTTCAAGGTCTTCCTTGTCGTCATGTTTTCTCTGTTCACTACTACTAGACCTCATTTGTTCTGCATCTTCCTCCTTTTCTGTGTTCTGCTTTTACACTGTATCTCCTTGCACGCTTGGAAATCGCACGAGGAGAATGGGAGAAAGAGCTGTTCACGTTTTAGGAGAGACAAAGCTGTTTCAGAGAGAGAACAAATGAAACAGAACAAAGCCCTATTTGGTTGTCAATGACAACCAAATAGGGATTTGTTTTTGTCATCAACAATTTTAGTGTGAAATGACCAACAGGTCCCAAAAAACAGAGGGAATGCGTAGTTGAGGGGATATTTGGGTTTTTGCTAGAGTCTTAATTAGAAGCTGCTACGGATACTATTTGCATTGCAATGCGACAACTGCTCCTTAAAACTGAAACACAACGAGGTTTTGCGTAGTGACAAAGTGCCGCAACGGTGCAATATCAGTTGTTTTTGAGTACACAGGACTGAATCATTTTGTATGTCTGGGTTCTTTTCAGTGTATGTATGAAATAAAGACTTATCTTTCATAATACTCCCTCTGTCTCAAATTATAAATCACTTTGCAAAAAATATTTGTCCCAAATTATAAGTATCTTTAGAATTTCAATACAACATTAATGACTTTTCCTAGAATACCCTCTATCATTTATTATTCTTTCTTCTTTATATTCTTTTAATTTCGCTTTCCCAATATAATTAATGAAGGGCAAAATTTATAAAGTTATAAATTTCACTTTCCCATACAACAATCATTGCATTTTTTAATTTGTGTGAAACATCCAAAGCGTCTTATAATTTGGGACGGAGGGAGTAAAAAATTTTTTAACTGTAGTGTAGGAAAAAGGAAGAGTGGTTAAAAAAAAGACACCCAGCTGATCGACCAGTCCTAGCTCTTATGTTACTTGCGCGATTGGAAAATTTTCTGGCCTAATTACTGGAGTTGATAATGGTAAATGATATTGAAAATCATTTTGTCTTGTTTTTATAATAATTGAGGAAGAAATATCCTTTTCTAGACTTAGAAGCAAACATTCTTTACTTTCTGGGTGTTTGTGGATCAACCATATCTTGGTCCATTTGGTAGTAGGGTGCATAGGTTGGAAGCCTATATACTCGATGTAAGAATGGTTTGGCACAAATATGGACTTATGGAAACAAATTCAAAGTACAAGATGTAATATTGTATAGTCATGTTAATGCAAATTTAAAAAACTATATAAACATTTATATAAATGCACAAGACATTATTAATTTCACTTCTATACATGGCGAGATTAGTTGATAACCATCTTAATAGAAATTAGAAAAACCGAGATACATATCTTCGCTGCCCATATTAGGAAATATTCTTTCTTAATAAAAATGTTGCGAAGTTTTCATTTTTTTCTCCGACCCATGTTAGAATGTCACAAGAAACATCATTAGTCCTAATGCCATTATTTAACATTTGATACAAATTGAATCCTTCTTGTTTCTGTCAATCCCAATGTCCAGAAAAAAACTAGCTTCTATGCCTAGTTCATCAAGACGCGATATGATATATTGTTTGTCAAGTGATAACTCTGCCAACTAAAGCAGCTAGCTTAGCATACCGAAATTTGAGCAAATCACTATTGTTACGTGAATCACTACATACTTCTTTAATTTCAAAATGTTGTCAAATAGTGATTTTAGTGGTTCTATAGCACTGCCATAGAATTTGAACAAATTGTTATTTTCTTCAATCCACAATTGACGATAGTGTGTCCTACAACTTCATCTTTTCTAAGCAAAAGTGTAGTGTAGGAATGCACATAAACAAAATCATCTACACTTTTTTCGAATCCATTTTGTTTCTCTTCAAAGAATAGCTAAAGGAGTATGTAGTCCAATCCCTCTCACTGCATGATGACAAACAAAGTTGTACAAGAAGCTTTAAGGCTTGAATATGAATTACAAGAAAGAAGTAATTATACAAAATAGCAAATTAGGTATTCAATTTTGGGTGACTTAACTATTGCACACCTAAAAGACCAAAGTTTTATTATAAAACAAGGAATTGATTTCAACCACAGTTCTAATACAGGCAAAGAGTAAATGAAAAATTATTTAAAGGATGCCAACAAAATAAAAATAAAAATGAGAAAAGATTGTTACCGGAAAAGTCTTGTGTTGTGATAAATAAATTTTACTCCGAGGAAAATGGTCGGCACCAATAGTCATGCCTTTACCCTAATAACTTGCAAAACAAAGCTAAAACTTTCTTTTCTTTACACTGAAGTCGCAAGGGTTGCCCAAATTGTTTGCCAATGAACTTTTAAAATTTGTGCTTAGACTTTATTCAACTCCAAAAATTTGCTAAAGAGATAAGGATTTCCAAACTCTTATGAGGATTATTTGGCCATTTAGTTGATCTGGGATCTTAACAAAGCCCCACACTCTGCACTGATAATAGAGGTCTGATGTAGATTCTTTTTGTGAGGGAAAGACATCAGCAATAAATGTGGCCCGGCAATTTGATTTGATTTCATTTCTGTTTCTTTTGTTTATAATGATTCCTTTACTGGTTAGGATTTTTATAAAGCAGAATCCTTGGTTGTCTCTAAAATTTGGTATCTGTTTTATTGATTAGTCAAGGTTCTACCAATCAAGGATTTCTTTATTATACCAATCAAGGATTTCTTTATTAGGGAGAGACATTTAAATGGTGTGCATTTCTCAATAAAACGGAGATCAAATTATGACCCCACTTTGAGTATTATATGGAAGATTTTGTCGAGGACAATTGTACTACTTTCCCGTTCTTTTTCTAGATTTTGTCGAGGACAATTGTCGGAGACCTGTGACTAGGTCTTACACAAAGACACATAACAAATAGCAACACGTCAATGTGTGCTGGAGGAACAGGTGGCAGAAATGTCCATTGCGGTTGGAGGGACAGCAAAGGGACACATTTGGATATAATACTGAAGACAAAATAGCGGTGGCCATGGTAGTGTGAGAAATTTGGACAACAAATCTGAATCATCATGGCAATTATGATCCTGATATAAATCGTACAATTTGTGACTATGCTTGCCCTCAATGATTATGAGTATACCAATAATCGTTTTTTGGTGGAATTGCCCCTATTAATCGTGGAATCGTATAATCTACAAACTTCTAAATGCTTTTGTAATTCTGGTCGCTGTTGGGGAAGCGGACACTATTCTGGTTGTGGGTCAGTAGAAGACCTGTTTCGTTGCTCGGATTAGAAGATGGTTTTTTTGGTGTGGACCTAGGCATAGTTAGCACAATTCCGGTTGTTGCTCGGAAACATGACCTAGGCATACTGATGAAAACACTATTCGAGGCTTAAATTTGTAAGATGTTTATTTTCAAGTCTTAAGTTCTTCACACTAGTCATAGACTTATGACTTTCACTTTTCTTTTTATTGAAGGAGTAGATCATAGGCCTTTATCTAACAAGTAAGCTCACAAAAGCTTACTGGAGAAACAATGTACAGTAGCTTAGCCTTGTAACTAACCGCAACTAACTGTCTAACACAATTAGATACAGTTACAACTGCTCTAACAGATTGTAACTAACTGGCTGACTTATATCGGTCAAGCCTCTATAGCAGGTCATTAGAGGATCTATAAATATTTCTAATCCAATGTAAATCATTCATTCAATCAAATAATATTCAGATTCGTTCCGTAGATTCCAAGGGAATCATAGCTAATATTCAAGATTTTAACTCTTTTCAACAAGACAAGCTTAACTTTGACAACACATTTGTAATTCTTGTAATTAGGATTTTGAGCAAACCTAACTGTCAGCATAGTTAGCATAATTGTTTTCGTTATTATGATTTTGATTTGTATAGTATTTGTTCCAGATTTTATTTTCTTGTAACTTCAGTTAGGACAGTTTTATTAGAGTCCTATATATTGTACCAAGTTTGTTATTTGATCATTAGACCTGTAGATTCTCTTGGAAGAAGAGTAGATTAAATGGAGAGGAGTCAAACAACTAGAGGAGGACCTAGAAAAATTACAAGAGAAACTATGAAGAAAGATCTCGAGAGTAATGAACATGGTCTGGTGGGATAAGACTTGGTTGTTGTTGTTTTCAAGTCTAACAAATCATGATTGAGAAAATATATTGTATAAAAAAAATCTGAGGGAGTAAGAGATGTAACCGTGAGTCTCGATTGTCCTTAAATTCAATCCCTGTAACATTTACTGTGTTTTTTTTTCTTATTAACTCGTCTTTTTATTTTTGTTTCTTTATATGAAATAATATTTGATTAAAAGGTGTTCAATGGCCTGTCTGTCTCAGGCTGCAGTCATATAAATGGGTCCAGAAACGGAAGAAAAAAATGTTCACTCGGCCACCCAGAATACGTTATGTTTATGTTATAGTTACTGTTAAATCATTCATTGTTTCTGTAGACTTCTAAAGTGTGCTCATCAATATTCACTCCTAATATTTTTCAAATGCACATCATTCTAGATAATATCTGTTTATCTTCCGTGATTTTCATTTTCAGTGTTTGCCTAAAAATCAGAAAACGACCAAGTATTGTCCCTCAGTTGTACAACAGTTGATTCTAATATCATTTTTTTATTCTGGTTGCTGCAGCTGTGATGCAGTCTGATGGTTTTGAGTATCTTAAGGAAAACTGTCCGTTATTGCAATCAGAACTGCTTAAGACAGTTGCAGGAGGGGAAGAGGAATTTAGCGGAGAAGGAAAATGCCGAAGTGTGTGGGCCCAAGTTTCCGATGGCGGTGAGACTAATGATAGAAGTGTAAGACAACAAACCTGGGAAAACGGAGTTGAAAGAGGTCAAAGCTTATGGGTTAACCTCTCTGATGGCGTTAACAATGATAGGAGTCCAGGGCAAGAAGCTTGATGAAGTAAGGTACCATTCCTTGTTAGTTAGGCTCAGGTATAGATTAAACTATATTAATAAACCTCGTATTTGAATGGAGAAGGGGGAGTGGAGTGGAGTGCAAAACAATGTAAAGAAAGGAGGCTGAGATACAGCCACTGTAACATGATCGTTGTGTTTTTGTTGTTTTTGTTTTGATTATGATTATATGATTACGCCAATCGAATTGTAGAAATAAGTTGACATTGTATGGAAGCTTGTCTTGTCTGTTATATGGTAGCATTTATTTTCACGCCTGTAAAATTTATTGAGGTAGCCAGTGTTTTATTTCTTCAACTACCTTGGATTTGTTCTTTATACGGTCTCATTTTTTTCATCTGGTAGTTAGTTTCTTCCAAGTTTCAATTTTGTTTCTAAGTCAGTTTTAAATTTTCATACTATTATGATCTCTGTTTCAGATCAATATGAACAAAAAGACACCGGCTCTTCACAGTCAGATTTTCTGTGAATCATCCAAGTTCGCAACACTAACATATTGACTTGTAAAACCAACTCTTTAAACTCTGTAATTAAGGGAAGATTCTTGGAAATTTATCATAAGATTCTGAAATACAAATTATGAAGAATTATAATTTTGATTTGAAAACATTATTAGAGGCTACAAACACCGAGATTAATTCAATATGTAGGAAATATATGGGTCATTTTTGTGACATTAGATAACACCTTTTCCCTTCTCAAATGGTCGTACCTAAGAAATTCAAAGATAGTACTGGTTTGCAAACTTGATTTATGTGCATTATTTTCTATAACCAATGGTTCAAAAGAATTGCATCGGTATTTGTTGATTAGAAATCTAAAATTGTTTCCAGTACTATTTTCAACTTTCAATAGAAAATACTACTGCCTTTTCAAATTATAAAGATGTTTTTGGGCATTTCACCGGAAGAAACTTTATTATTTTATGAGTTTAAATAATATATATATTAGAGATAAATTAAAAAGAGTTAGAAAGAATAAATAATAATAAATATTTAAAAGTATAGAGAAAATGTCATTAATATTACATTAAAAATATAAGATGATTTATATTAATATGATATAATTATTTATTTTGATATTATTTATTAATTAATCTAATTAACTTTATTATTTTATTGATTTCAATCATAATTGATCATAATATTAATTTTTGATATATATTACATAAAACCTATTATATTATAGTGTTTTTATAATAATTTTTAATTTGAATAAAAATTGATTCAAATTAAATAATATAAAATTAAATCTGATCAAATTGTTTTTAACCATTCATTCAATATCGAACTAATCGAATGAGTTTTTATCTTAAAATCCATTTAAAACATTCACAAACACTCTTAACATTAATAATAAAATAGTTAGACTAAATGAAAGTGAATAGTTGATCGATAGTTCAACTTTCACTGTATTTTTTATATTTTTTATATCTTAATTATTGGATAAGGCACTGCCACTGCACCACGTGATTCTATATGACAGTTGACAAGGATAAAAAATAGTAAAACGACAAGAATACTTCTTGGCGGAAACAACAATGATCAAATATATACATGTGATTATTTTGTTAGTGACAAAATCCACAAAGTCATAGGGATAAGATATTTATCTTGGTGTGGAAGAGGATATGGATTTTAATGTTTTAGTAAAAATCAAGCGGAAACCAGTAACTACACAAGGATACATATATGTTTTTAAAATATAATACAGTGTTTTAGGATCACAAGTTAAGAACTATAAAAAAAAATTGTGCCTTAATTTAAATAAAAATATATAATTAATCTTTTATTGTTTTTTCAATACAAATTTTTTATAAATAATTTTTTTTTTAACTTATACTCTTAAGAGCAACTTTAATGCAGGGTTGTTAAACCAAAATTCTTTATAGCTTACGTTATTAATAAGGAATTTGCATTATAGTAGTGCTGACATGACATATGGGATGCTCTAAAACTAGTTTACGTGCTCTACACAAGCAACGTACTCTAACTCATCATTTAACAAAAATAATACATTTTTATTAATTATTTAAAATAAATAATATATTTTTATTAACCATTTAATACCATGTGGGGTCAAATTTTGGTTTCTTATAGACAACCACCATTAAAGTAAAAACTACTCAAATCAACTATAAATTTTTTAAATCCTACAAATCACTTTGGACCCACAAAAAGTATCTTAGCTTACCCATTTAGTTTACTCCCACTAAAGATGTTCTAAGACCCAAGATAACATTATTTAATAAAATAAAACAAAATTATTTAATTAAAAAAGTTTATTTTTAATATATATAAAAGATGAAATGCAAGCATAACAACAAACCAATGCTCGAAGTGGATTTTCTTTTGAAATCCGTAGGAAAGTGGATTTTCCTTTGAAATTTGCTGCGGATTTTCCTTTGATTTTTCATGCAAATTTTCACTTTAGAGACTAAAACCAAAATCATATTCAGGGACTATTTCCAAAAAAATTAAAATTTAGGGATTAAAAGTAAGAACACGTCAATTTATAAGAATGAAAAGACTATTTAAACCATTTATTAATTAACTTTTTAAATATATAATAGATATATTCAATTCAATTATTTAGTGCCAAGATTCAAATGTTTGCTTGGTATAATTATCGGTGACCACTACGGTTCAATTTGAACAACAATAGAGCGACATCATTTGTCATCGACGACTCTTCCCAATGAGCTTCTGGCCGAATTATTTTTTCTGCTCGAAGTAAAATGTGTTAACAAATCTTTCAATTCTCTCATCTCTGATCCTTCTTCATTCACATGCATCTCAACAAACCACAATGAAACCCTAACCTCGCACTAATTTTGCCACAAATTTTCGAGAATCTGTTTACCGATTGCACTGTCATAACCTTTTCAATATCTCGTATAGTTGATAATTCGTTAACCACCGTTGAATTCGATGCTTACTATCAATTATTTAGCACCAAAATTCAAATTGTTTGTTTGGTATAGTTATCGGTGACCACTAGGGTTTAACTTGGACAACAATAGAAATTACGAAACGACATCATTCGTCATCGACGACTTTCCTCAATGAGCTTCTAGCAGAAATATTTTTCCTGCTCGAAGTAAAATGTCTTATGCGATTCAAATGCTCCTAAAAGCATCGTCCAAAGACATCTTGATGACATACTGGTAGATTACGAGAGTCATCTGGTATCAGAGGAGTATCAGAATATGGCTGCCACAAGTATATTGTCTTATGTGGACAATTATATGACTTGGTTCTATAGTATGTCACACCCTGTCTTGACACTGAACACTCATAAACGTCCACCTAGGCCTTCCCATAAGGAGATCTTGGAGAATAAGCAGGTCATAAATGACTGTGACATTGATGCGTTGTCAATCTGTCAAAATATTAAGCAGATTACGTATGTGGGCATATAGTCTAGGTTGTTTGAGAGACGTGACAATGACGTGGTTGCCCTAACATATTCCATTCTTACCGAGGCACGAAATACCTTGGATTATTGGCGGAAAAGGAGGAGTCAGGAGTTGGGATTAGGAATACACAATAAATTGTGCTTTTATTTGTATTTAGGGATGTTTTAGTATTTTTCCATACTTTAAGAACAATGTTTATAATATGATTGAATATTTTTTTTAATTAACGCATTATCTCGTTCTATGATATTCATGTTTATTAATGTTTGAATCAAATGATAGCAATGTTAGTCAAATTAAAATGACTTTGGATTAAAAAAATACAAATTTAAGACAATATTTCTGCCCAAGAAATATATATATATATATATATATATATATATATATATATATATATATATATATATATATATATATATATATATATATATATATATATATATATATATATATATATATATATATATATATATATATATATATATATATATATATATATATATATATATATATATATATATATATATATATATATATATATATATATATATATATATATATATATATATATATATATATATATATATATATATATATATATATATATATATATATATATATATATGTAGAGTTTGAAAATCCAAGTTTTATTTGTTGATTTTTTAATGCTAGATAAAGTTGAAATCTGTTCACCTTTTTCATTTTTTATAGTAGATATAATAGTTTATTTTGGTATTTATAAGAAAAATAAAAGAAAATAATAAATTAAAAAAAATAAAATCTTTTGTTTTTTATAAAACATATTCTTTCTTCTTTTTATATACCACATAATTTTGAAAAAGAAATACATAATTTTGTTATAGGTTAGTAAAAAAGAAATATTTATAATTTCACAAAAGATACACTATTCGTAAAAAAATAGAAGAAAAGATTATGAATACTTATCATACCAGAATTTGACAGATGGATGAAGATGTAAAAAAGATAAAAACAAAAACGAATTGTTATAGATATATTAGTTAAATATTCAACTATGAGCAAATAAAATAGGGATTTACTTATTCTTCTACTTGAATAAAAATGAACAACATATTTAAAGATGAAAAAATGTGAAAAATATGATACTCTTTTAAATATGAATCTAAAATATGAATAAACCAGAGAATAAAACAGAAATAACCTTCTTGTTAGTGATATGTCTTTTTCATAAGAAATTTTATAAATAAAAAGTGAAGAGTTGGGAGATATGTTAATATATTTTTATAGTAAGTGAATAAAGGGGGAATTCAAAATTCAAAATATATGTAAAGGGAAAATTGATAGAAAATATTCAAATATTAAAGTGACGTGAGAGAGAGTTGGTCGACTTTGTGAGAGAGAGTTGGTGGACAATGTCAGCAAAAGTGAAAAAATTAGTGTTTTCTTTTATCGTTTTAATACAAACACCTAATATGTGATAGAAATGTGATAGAAAAATTAGTATTGAAACCATCAGCAGTTTCGTTGTTACAACCTTTGACAGTTTCTTTGGTGAGGCCATCAGTAACCTCACATATTCAATCTT